ATCATTTTTTTACATCGGACAATATCATCATCGTAACTCAGGCATACTCTCATATACATTTATCTATATACATTGAATACTTTTTAGAAGTCTATAAGAAATCTATCCCGCCACCACAAGGGCAAAAATTATCGTATTTATTATGGCATCATTCATTGTCGATTTTGATATCGGCGATAAGATCCATAGATGGCATTTCATATAATCATTGTTGCATCGGCATGTTTCACGAATCTTCTATTCTTATTCGTTTTCTCAAGTTGACATCAAATAATTTTTCCCTTACTGCTTCCATTTTTCAGTTATCATACATTCTTCCATCACCGGACTGTTGTCCAGGTACATTCGCGTATTCTTCCTGGCATTTTTTTTGCATTGCCATTAAAGACAGACTACAACTCATAAGCGATAATTTTGGAGATGTACCTAGTTAGCAGTTCGATGACTTTAATTGCAAAGGGCACAGTATGCAGTATCTTCTTTGAAGTTTCCCTGAAAACAGCTAGTCTGCTCCATTTTTGTCTTTATCCCTACTGCTTAGACTTCCAAAATTCATCCTTACTTGTGGTGATTTCTACCTTCCACCATGCGTTCGTATCTCCTTACGACACTGTAACTTGCTGACTAATAGTTCATTTGAACAATAAGGGGCTCGCATCTCACTCGGCAGCGTTCGCATTCCAGACATGCACCTTTCCTGCCTAATTTCCTAAAGGCATTTGCCAACTGAATACCTGCTACTAGCCTGGTCATCTGGCTTCCTGGTCGTATATTCTTAGTTAGTCTAAAAGCATGCCTGAAAATGCGCCTGCATTTTTGACAAAAGCATGATCTTGTTTCACTTCAAGAGCAGGCTTTCTGAAGTCCTTTAATAGCGACATGGCCGTTTTTATTGGGCTCTGCTAAATACGGTGCATTTCTCGTTTGTCATCCTTCTCGCAAATCGGCGAGAAGTGTATATTTCTCAAGTTAGTTAGATACTCAGGCCATGATCTGAACCTATGCCTCCCGCTTGTTTGCAATTGACTGGATGGAGCCATTCCTTAGCCTCGATTACTGCATAATACCTTGTGCGTACATACACACATGCATGCACATTCATACACACAGAGAGTTAATTGACTGAGTCAGCCTAATGGGCCTTATCAAGCTCCTGGGACAGCTTCACTGAAACCTTGCAAGGGAACTTCGTTGGTCCTAATTCAATGGCTGCGTTTTGGATTGATGCTACAAAAATGCAGGAAAAATATTCTTGTGGACTTACGCATTTTGGGATTCTTTTCCAGCAAAGCTAGAGGATGCTTATTATGTGTATACGATTCACGCTGTGGCTTCTTGTCCAACTCTTCTGCTTTCCTATATTTCGCTATCCAGTTAGTGAAAGTGCTTAAACTTGTTTTACTTCTGGCCTGAAGATCCGTATGTGTGATTGCTTTGATTGTCCTAAGGATAGATAATGCAGGCCCCCCGCATCGGTCACTTTCGACTTTAGCCAAATCGAGAGGAGCCTCAGACAGCATGCTGGTTGTTGGCTGGATCACTTTAAGTGCTTCTTCTATGCAGACGCTTGAAACAGTTGATTTATCTTGCACACTGTCAAGTCCGTCATAATGCACCTTCCAGGTCTCCAGTTCACTTGGGAGCTCCTTTCGTATCCCTCTGCTTATATTTGAAATTGATCCAATGGCACTCTATTCCACTAAATTTTTCACTGTTCAACTAGAATCTTCTCGTTTTATTTATGCTATTTATATCGCTTGGTTTGCATACACTTCAAGACCAACCGACGCTCCTATACTAGGCCAAGCTTCTTCTTAGTGTTGGCTCGATCTTGTTTTCGCAACTCATTTGGAGCGTCAGGGAGACCTTTTTGAACGTACCAATCTTGTGTCTTCTGCCATAGTATTCGTGATTTTCAATATCGGCCTCGTAATTAGCATCGTATATGATGGACACCATCGTTAGCACACAGTTACAACTTATCACAATGATAAGTGAATGCAGTCTCCTTGACCATTTTTCTCTTCAACCCTTGTGGCATCACTCCTCGCCCCTATTTTTGTTCTAATTTCTGGTGCTGCATCTCTCTTTCTCTCAACCCCACTTCATATGGCGCAATTTTCCTATTCATACAATTTTTCATTCTCGTTTGCTCCAATGTCGCCTAAGAATGTGTCGCTGTAAGTGGGTTTAGTGAAGCGCGATCATCTCCACTACCGATACCAGGTGCCGTTTGCGTGGCTCCTGACCTTCATTCAGCCTCGATTCCACTCCGCTTGCCAATTGGTTGCTGATAAACAAAAAAATTGCTGTCTGTCTCTCGGAAATTTGGCTGCCTATAAGCCTTCAATTCCCGTCCCCGATTACGCCATATTCGCTGATTTAGAGCAGAGGATGCCCATGCCATTGCCTGGGAATCCGCTCCGACCAAGCTGTGAGAACGAGGTCGAACCAGCAATATAAAGCTAAAGGAGACCGCGACCAAACAGAAGGCCACACCATCTTGGTCGTCATAACTATAAGCTTCTTCTTGTTTGATCAGGCTCTATTGTGCTGCAGCCATCTTTCGCGTCTGGTGAATCATGGTTTTTGGCTTCACTTCGCTTATTGCAGCACAGCTTTTCAGCTTTAAAGTAGATACGAAGAGAAACTTGATTTCGATGAATCGCCTGAGATAACATTGTTAGGAGGACCTTCATTTCGGATGACAGTGCATGAAGAAGATATTCGTTTGCGGATCTCACCAGATGAGGACGGACGAATCTCGTTGTACTGCAGCCGTTTGGCTTTTATATGATATTCATGTTGACACAGTCGACGAGACTTTCTCCCTCATTTCGGGTGAAAACGTGCTGAGCTTTCGTCCATCATATGATGGACATCATCA